TAATTCTAAGCTTGTAGCTTCCCATTTTTATTATATGTATGATATTTTCTGTCCTAACATGTGCCCCATGATTTTCACCCTCTGTCTGGCTCGGCTTATATCCCCCGGGGTGCCAGTAAAAAATTACAAACATTTAAAGTTTGTTATGAGAGAGCACACACACAAGCTGAAAGTAAAATAAGAAAATCAAATCGTAAGGACCACAAGGATGTGAGGTGTCTGCGAGGATGCATAAAATATGCGTCAGACGGGCATCATCCTCATGTAAAATGAATGTAGCATACATTTATGCGCAGCCCGCACTTCGATTATTTAGGGAATTCAAAAATTAGACATTTCGTTTTCATTCGCTGGAGAGGTCGAAAGCAAAACAATAAAATACGAGGTGTGAGAATGCCGCAGGCCGAGGTATTTAACATTTAACACCAACTACAATGTGCGTGCCACATTCCCCCCTATCCCCCAGGAGTGAGCAAAAAATAAATGGGCCATGGAGGCAGCGGCGGCAGGCAGGATAATTGCCACAATGGACGTGGCAATTAACGCGGATAAGTAAGGACAATGGCCAGAGACTTATGCAACACAAATTGCAAACCGAAGTCGGTTTTTTTGGGGGTTGATTGGGAATTCCAGACGACAGGCGATCAATAAGGCAGGGTAGGAGGTCCTTCTCCACCTCCTCCTCCTCCGAAATTCAATCAGCCTCCCCTGTATATTTGTATTGCAATTAATTTTGCCAATCTAACCAGTAAAAGCCATCAACCTAAACAAGTGAATGCTGCAGATAAGCCCTTAGTGGTCTAACTGAGAGAAAAGAATAATAAAATGAATAAAATAAAATTGCATTTCAAAACAATAATAATAAAAATCAAAACCATAGCTCGGTCTTCTCTGATTTGTTTGGAATTAATTTTAAAAAAGTATCAGAAAGTAACTATTTTTTTCCGTGCTTCGAGGCCGTTTTTCGTGTCGAGCATTTGAAATGCAACTTACCAGAGTGCAACATTTCATTTTGGCTTGCAAAACGCTCGAGAATTGACTCGACAAAAACCTCGACAAGCAATAAAAATGGCAAAAACAGAGACGGCCACCAGGATTGCCAGGACTAGAGCAAAAAATTGAAAGAAACTTTTGCAGAAACGCTTCCTTTGGCCAGGGCTAGTGCCAGTGCCAGTACTACTGCCAGTGTGTTTCATTTCACTTCGACACGGCTAGCAAAAACTGTGACAAGGCACCAAAAACGAGCTGCGGGCCGAAAAAAAAAATGCCAGGACTAAAACAAATATTCAGCAGGAGGTTTCAAACTTTATTTCGGTTTCAATTTGCGATAAAAACAGCGACAACAGTCGCTGGGGCAGCGGCAGGGGCAGGGGCAGGGGCAGTGGCAGAGGCAAATGAAATTTAACAACTCGAGGAAGGACTCAAGAGCGGAGGCGGATGGGCTATGCGATGAGAAGGGGAATTGGGACTACGATCTGAGAATGAGTTGTGACGAGGAAGGACACTGGGGGCGACTTGGCACAAAAGAAGAGCCAGCAATGCATTTCCCACGCTGCAATTGCTGTCGCTGCTTGTTTTTGAACATTCATAATAAATTTTGCTCTGCAAACCTTCTTCGACAGCAAAAACAAAAGGACCCGTAGTATATATATCCTTTTTTGCTTCATTCTTTCCTAGTTTATTTTTTTCTTTTTTTTGCATTGCAGCCGCCCCCACCAGTTGAAATGTAACGGATGTTAGAGTTGCGCACTGAAAATTATATATAAACAGGATATGACAGGCAGGAAGCCGTTGCCCTTTGGCCCGCCACGCCCCCCGGGCCAACTCCCATGCCGCCTCCCGAAGTTGCCCCGAAGTCGAAGTGCATTGCTAAGCTTTTTTTTTCTAGTCTATTTTGGCTTCCATTTGCCGCCCCTCCTTGCTGCTGCTTGAATTTTAATGCCAAATGGCATTCCGGATTGAGCCAGGACTCGGTATCGGACCAGAGGACTAGCTACTGTTGTGCCGCTGGCCAGGACTAAACGGCTATCAGGGGAAAACGAGTTGAGACGCCAGTGACAAGAGTAGCCAGTAGCCGGAATACTGAAAAGGATATTGAGGCCCCGAGCAGGATTTTATATTAAACGTGTTTGAAATTTTCTACAACTTTTAATAGTTCATAACTTTGGCCCAGGATAAAGTAAAAAAGAGTTTTCTAAAATTTAAAACAAGCTTTATGCACTATATCCAGATGGTTTCTGGCGCCAATCTCCTGCTTCATCAATTTATAATTTCATAAAAAGCATTCTCTGGGGAAAATGCATCATCTCGGATGTTTTCTTTTTTTTGTAAAACAAATTCTCGGAACAGAATCTTAAGTGTTAGAACAACAAAAGGATAATGCAACCTTGGTAGTAGGTACGATAAAGAAGAACTCCTTTTGCGATATTTTATATGAGTATAAACACAAGTGCGGAGCTTACATAAATCACGCATACGCACTGTGGCACAGTGCCTGCCACAAGAGGCAAACCTATAAATAACCCAGACGACACTATAAACAACACCAGAACCAAAAAAATGAGAAGAAAAGGAAGCCGAAGATAAAGTTTAAAACCAAAATACAGTAGGGAGATGGCTTAAATATTCTGATGATGTTTCTGTAAACTTTTAACCATTTTTGTACAAAGAATGACCGACCTAATGGCCAATTTTTGGCTTGGTCAAGAGTAATGGGGAAAATCTGAAGCTTAAAAATCAAAACATCACAAATCAAAAATCAGAAGTATGAGAATCGAATCTGTGTGGCAGGTCCTTTCTTTTCCTTGCTCTCTCAATATATGTACATATATATTTATATATAGTATAGTGAACAACTTTATCCAATTTCTTGTTTTGAGCTGAGACCAGCACATCGCGCATAAGCACGTACAAATCGCATTTCTTAGGCTCCTCTTCCTGCCGCTTTTCTGCTTCCTGCTTCCTGCTTATCCTTTTTTATTTGCTCCTGCATGTGGCATGTGGGCTATGCCTTGGTTGTTTAGCTGTCAGATTTACTTGTCTCACTGGGTCGTCTGAATATCCTTGAGACTCAACCAACGTATGTGTGTGTTTGCTATAAATCGACAGCTAAATCTGCAAAAACATTGATAAGACAAGCGACATGCCAATGCGGCCAAAGGCATTTTCCAAACGCCTCTCCCCCAACGACTTAACCCAAAATACCAAAACGAACCGAAAATGTTTAGCCAACTTGCTGCGAAATTGCTTTTCGATTTATTTTCTATACATGCATGTCTGACAAATTGTTGAGCGATATATATATGTATAAAGGATATGTATATGTGTATCGAGAGAAAGTGGGATTTGGAAAAGGAGTAGGAGAAAGGAATTGTGACAAATTAGTCTCTGGCCTTTGTTGTTGTTTGCTGTGTTGGCACAAATTATGAGATCCTTATCGTCCTGGTCATGATTGAGTAATAAACAGAGGCAAAGAAACATTGTTTTTGGCCAGAAAACTAGGCCAAAAACGATGGACTATTTTTAAAAAAAATATGAAAACAATATTGAAATGGAAAGCAAATATTTATAGAGAGAAAATGGTTGCTTCTATGCTTCCATTATTTTTTTAATCTCTTCAGTATTTGTTTTATAGAATTAATTACCTAATGTCTTGGTCCATTGAGCTGTGGGTCGCCAGTCCGGGTAGTGTTTGGGAAACAGTTCGCGGGTCCAGTAGGTATGGAGCACCACCTTGTAGACGGCCAACCGGTCCAGGGTGCAGCCTGTCTGGGGGGCAGGCTGAGTGGCGGGAGGCGTGGCCAGCGAGGGTGTCGGATCGGGATTCGAATTGGCATCCAGACCTTGATTGGGCTCGTCGATGCTATTGGCATCGGTGAAGTAGTAATTACGATTCAGATTCGAATTGGAATTCAGATTGCCGTTTGATGTGGCAAACTTGATGTCGTTGTCCCGGTCCTGTTGTTGCAAAGTCTGTTCCGGTTGCTGCTCAGGCTGCTGCTGCTGCTGTTGCTGCTCATTGGCCTCCACACTGTAGGCATAGATGGCTGGATTCGAGATGAAGGAGGCCCCATATGCACTGACGGCGGCATCCGCCTCCGAGGGGACGTATCCCAGAGTCAATCCCAAACAGAAGAAAAGAAGCATCCACGGCAGCGACGGCCAGTGGGCCAGAAACTCGGTTTTCGGTGTCGCTCTCATTTCGTTAAATGTTGCGTGCTAATTCAGGCCCTATCTCGCTCTATCCAACGCCGGCGTTGGGCTATTTCTGTTTTGATATAATTTATTTAACTTTGTATTCTTTTTGTCGCTTACACTTCACATTTGCCTTCGGGCCGATGCCTAAAATAAATGCACATTCAACACACACGTCTTGCCTTTTCCACTCACATATTTATTTTTGGTTTCTTCACTTTTTGGACTTTTGGCGCGCGTGGTAGCAGCACAAGCTCAACAACTGCGATGTGTGTGCTAGAGCGGCGGATATATCTGGGGGATATTCTATCTGTGCGATACAACCGCCCGCGTTGAGAGTTCGTCGCGGACTGAGCCAATAATAATGTTGTGTCAGGCAATGAAAACATCAGCTCTCCCTGCAAAGCGCCCCAATATTAGGGGGAGCATTGCAGACACAGAGAGCGTAATGCACTATGAGGTTGCTGGGGAAATTCTCCATGAGATACTGTCATCCCCCATCCACAGACTATGAGGGTTGGACAAAAATAAAGAAACAGCCTGTTGAGCTTGATTCTACTTTGATTTGTTTTTTTTGTTTATCGTTCCTATATAGTTTGCGTTTTTTTAAGCAATGATATATTTTACTATATAGTAAGTACAACTAAAATTAACTTGTTATATGTTTAAAACTAAGAATATCTTAAATCTGTTCAAAAACAATTGAAAAAATATAAAAGTAGGCTTACTTCCCTTGTTTTTACTTTATTCCCATATGCCCGGTTTATTTTGTATTTGGCTTCCAAGAAACTTAAATCAATTTCGAATTTCCTATTTTGTTTGCATATTTTTATTAAATCCAAATCAGTACAAATTTGATGAAGTCTGAGCTTTCCAAAAATGACTATAAATTTTAAGGAATTTAGAAGCGAAACAGCTTTCTGTCGAGGATTTCAGAAATAAAAAAATTAATGTAAGTATGCAATAACCTCAAATAATTCTGTATAAATACCTTCAAAGAATTTCGTCATCATCAGGCATAGCGATAGTTTGGTCTTCAACCAGATCCTTCTCCATTTGAATTGGCCAGTCCCAACAAGTTTTGCCGACTAGTTCCAACTTGGGACTACCAACTATTTGACCAACTCCAACACCAATAACAAAGGAATGGCTTCTTGTTCATCTTACAATAGGATACCACATTTTTGCCTTTCACCATGTGGTCCTTAATATCGACGATGTTTCCGCACAGGACGATGGGCGTATGGTCGACAAGCCGGGTCAGTTCACGGTACCAGGTGGCCACATTCTTGGAGGTGACGTGCGAGGTCACTTCAAACAGAATGAAGGCAACCTGGCTCTGGAGACAGTAGCCATGTCGAAGTCCAAAATTCTGGACTTCTGGACCGATCTGGACCGATGACTTCGACTTGGTCCACCAAGTACCACCATCTCGGACTAGCACGCACACTTGAACGAAGCCATTTCCTCTCCTCTAGAAGACGCCATCCCGCTGAAAGTGTTTCCTTATGTGTTCAGAGTGCGAAGGATGAAAAGACTCTGACGTGCCTTCAAATCGATTTATAAACAAAAGCTTACTATGCAACACTAGAAGCCAAGGTTATAAAGTACTTTATAAAGTAAAGTATTTTCTAATCTTTGCTAGAAGTTTTGGAAACGTGAATGGCTTACGTTATAGTCTATTTACTTTTTATGGATAATTTACATATACATATATAAACAGTGGAAACTACAAAAATAAAATAAATTCAAAGTAGTTTATGAAATTAAACTAATTACAAGGCTTAAAAATGTATAACCCTAAAATTACTTTCCTAAACAACTTAATTAACATTGGCTGATTTTGGAATATCTAACACAATCTAAAAGGTCTCTAAGCACCTAACCTTTCCCCAAAGGCGGATTGGCCGCGGAAAACTCATTCCTGGCTTAACCCCCAACTGTGGCTGGTGCGATTAACCCGCTGCGACAACTTTTGTTCCACTACCGAGTTGTTCTCACTGATTGCTGGAGGCTTAGTTCCATTTATTGCACATTTCCTTTCTGCCGTTTGTGAATGTCAGCGTTAATGAGCCGGGCTCATGTATGAGTCTGCCATGGAGTTTACTAAACCCAAATGTGTACTACATGTGTACATATATGTATATCTTAGTCCACAACCGAGCTGGTGTGTGTCAGGCCATTACTATTGTACTCAGAACAATGAGAACAATTTCCGATTAAAACCAATTGAAGCACTTTAATTGCTACAATTCAATTAAACAACACGCTAATGGCAACAAAATACAACAACAGCGATCGATTTATTGAGTGGGCGTTGGAGGTACTGATGGGTCAGTCCGCCCGTCATTCTGTCATTCTTATAGAACTTCGGTTTAACCCACTCTTGATAATTGCCATTGACAAGTGCCACCCGGTCCCTGTGGTGGCAATTACCACCAAGAACCCGAAGTCTTCAGGTGGGAGCTGGCCCAAAACCTGGACACAGACAATTATGTTGCACTTAAATGAGTTGTACGTGTTCTGACCATCCCGACCATGTGTCCTTTGTCCCCTATAGATCGTTTCCTGCGATACGCTCGAGTGTTTTCATACCATACACTTGAAGTAAGGATTATGAAAGTGATATCTTCCTAAATAAACTTGTATTATTTATGTTTTCTCAGCTAGGTACATGTATATACTTCTGAAATGAATTTATTGAACATTTTTTGGTAATATGTCGTTTAAAAAATTCCCATTTTTTTTAGTGCATGTAAATTGTGCGTGCGTGAAATTTATTGCAGTTAATAATAATTGTCCATTCTACTTGAACGACGACCACAACGATAATGTGCCTCCCCAGCCATTCTGCCGTGTCTCAAACCGCTTGTGGTCAATTATAAGCGGACAGTTTGCCATTTGTCTTAGACATGGTCAATGCCAGGCTTTTCTATCTGCCCTCTGGGGCTTTTTATGGGGCTTTAAATGTGCGACCATTAGCCAAATAAACGTATACTCGTACAACCCCTGACTAAATTTATTCAAATGAGGTGATAATGTTCATTTTGTGTAATGTTTATTACTTGCGCAGAGCTGGTTATTTATTTTTATTAACTATGCTTGTGAGTTTAATAGAGTTATCATGACTTGATAGGCACAAACTAAATAATGAGTACTTATAATTAAATATTATACAAATTTAAACTTAAACAAACCTTTCAAAAAGTATATTTTTCAATAATGACCGGACATTGGGAAATAAAGGGAAATTTTCTCCCTACTTTCTCTGCACAGCGCATGGTTTGAATCTCTTTCGCCGACACTCTCTCGTGCCACTTTCTCTCTTTCTCCTGTAGAGCTCTCATTTCTTGCCACCTGAACAGCCAAGACATTTGTGGCTTGGACTGTCGGCAAAATACGGATATAATCCATTCAACAAAAGTAAAATCTCAAATACATGAACCAGAAGAGACACTGGGAAAACAGTAGCGGGGAAATACCTCCTGGTGGGGGTGGTACTATATGCTAGATCTGTGGCACCAAACATTTCGATGGACTTGGGGCCTCACACGAACGGCAGCGAACGGCAAAAATTCCTAATAAAGTTGGCATTTGCCAAACAGACACGCAGACGTGCAGACAAACAGGACAGGATACCTGAGCCAGGTAGTCCTCCCACCTGCCACATCCTCCCTCTTTCATCTAATATTCAGCCACCTTTTGGGTGTTCGTTGTTGCTTTTATTGAAAACTGAACACAAAGCAACCAAAATGCGACCACCCAGCGAATGTTGATGCTCCTGATGCTGCTCCTGCCATACGTCGGATGCATTTCCTCGTGGATACGTCCTCCTGGAAAAGCGTTCGGGTTATTTGCATAAAAACTATGCATGTGCTTGCCAGTTGCCACCCAGACAGCATTTGTATTTGTATTCTTATTTTTAAGCTATTGCTTTTTGCATTTTGCACGGAGGACTAAGGGAATCAACAAATCCACTGAAAACAAACAACAAAGCTTTGTGTGTATTTGTGTTACATGAAAGACTCCTCTTCCCCTAGATTGTCATCAAAACGTCAAAATACTCGAAATATCTGACTGTCACTCAAATCACAATGAGCAACACATATGCATGTTGCATTTTGAATCCGCAGCTCTACTTTTGTCTGAGAATTTGGAATGGTATTTGGATAGATATTTGGAATCAGGTTGTCTAATTGCAAATATCTGTAAAGGTAGAGACTTTAACAATTTCAGTTTGAAATCGGTTTGTTTTATTGAAATACTAGCCTAGCTTTAAATTGTAATTCTTTTTGGGAAATAAAACACTTTCTAGATAATTTATCAACTATGTGGTCAGCCACTAAGGACGGGAAATTATAGAGTTCATTAAAAATTCTTTGGCACCCCATCTAATTCCACAAATCATTCTGCCCAAAGTCCGTATAATCCAGTGCAACGCCAAAAATTTGTCAGTTTCGAGAGGCTTAACACATTATTTATGTATGTTCTTGGAAAAAAAAATACAGATCTATGATATATAAATAAAAATTCATTTGTTTGCCTTCCCTACTAACTATAGAATCTGTAATTTGATTTATGTATTCTGATGATGCAACACTTAGTTGCTGGGAAGCGAGACCCATTGATCTATTTAAATGCAAATTAAATGAAATAATATTTATTTTTGGTCAGTCTGTCTGTGGCTAGATTTCATTAGCTGCCAATGCACAAATCCATTGAAAATCAATTAAAAATACATATTTTTGTAAAAGAACAATGGCAGTGTTATATTCGGCGGGGGCTTATTTTTACGTCTGTTTCTGCAGTCTGACCGCGAATTATATAATTTCAATTAGGGTTTTGAGGTCCGAAAGCGACTATAACATTCTATGCACTTTGGCGGTAATTATGTGGCGATTGCATTTAGAACCATTTAAATGACCAGTTGGCTTTTGTCCTCGCTTTGATTCAATTAATGTTGCATTGTGGAAATAATGAGCCAGCACAGTATTAGGGGTCCTTCCTATACTCGAGTTTAAATGAAGTGGAAATTGGTTTGTGTTTAAATGCTAATCCCTCAATTGGTTCAGGGGGCTATAAATCGGATTACCTTCATTTTATTTTTGGACATGTCTAAAAATTGCTACAAATACAATTAATTCAATAATTATTCTCTTGTTATTCTGATATAGCTTTTTCAGTAATAAACCTAGATCCGTCATCTTTACTATCGATATATCAATGATGAATAAAAAGTCTAATAAGCCTAAAACAAAGCCAGTATAGGCCTTACCGCCTTTACAATTTCAAGCTTCAAGATTTTAAACCAAAAAGTCCTGCTTTTCACTTGTGGGGTATCCTTGACTGAGCTTAATTAAAACGCAGGGTCACGTAGCGGCCGTCTAATCCAATCCTGGCCAGTTGTAACTGCCACAGTCTTCTGTCACTTTGGCAATTCTTGGGCATTTGAGTACTTTGTGTGAGCAAGAGTCGTCCTCCTACGTAGCAACAGAAAAAAATGAAAAAACCTAAAAGCTAATTTGGGTTTTTCGTTACGTTTTTTTCGTCCTGTCATTCGGTTCCAGTCGTTGGCGTTTTTGCCTTGGACTGTGTCAAAGTGCATGCCAAATGGAGAATTGCATTTCCAAACATTTGCGCAACATTAATTGCATAAATTTTGAAGCAGCGCCGGGATGGACTGATGGAGTGGTGGGGGGTGAGGGGTTGGCAAATTTAAAGAGCGAAGGAAAAGTCATTAAAATGTAGTCACAGCCACGCACCCTTGACTGCTCGCTCTCGAATTTCGCCTCATTTTCCCTTGTCGGTTTTCCCCAACGCGCTTTTCCTTTCCCTTTTCCCCGTGTCGGTAAAGTCTGGGCCTCTTTAACTGTCTCTCTGTCTGTCTTTCAGTCTGTCTGTCTCTTGGCCATAATTTTATGCCTAACTGTGTCAGCTTCTGGCTTTTCTTTCTGCCTTCCTGCACTCGGCAAGTGCTCATGCATAACGCATTTTTGCGCAGCTAAAAAGTATGCTATGAAAATGTAACTCAAAACCTGTTGCCCCGCCCACCGCCTCTCATCCTCTTCTTCCTTTTTTTTTTAATAAAAAAATATAACACACAGCCTCGCTTTAAATCAGTCGTCATTTCATTAAAATTCGCATTCCAAAGGAGCAACAGCGCCCTGCTGGGATTTCAGCACATTTATACAAAAAATAAACTTGTTTTTTTGACAGTGTGGGGTATTAAATTTACCGTTATTAAAACGTTTTTTAGGTCCTTCAGAGAGGCTAAAAAACACGCCATATTTTTCTTTTATTTCGCTCATTAATTGGATTGTAATAATGGATTTTAAGTTAGGATTTTTCATTTTTCAAAATCTAATAG